ACATCTATAAAGATATAATGAACAAAAATCAGCATATGTTTTATTCCTGGCATCTTGAATTGTTGTCTTTGGTTTCAGCTTGAGTGTAAAAATCCACTTCATTAAGTTTTATGTTGTTAAGAACAATAAATTTTTGAAGTTAATTTGCTTGTTATACATACCGTAGGTGCTAAGTCATGGCAGTGGGAGCATCGAGGAGAATAAAAATTCACAAACCACAGTTCTCCTGAGTTGACAGCAGCATCTAAATGGAGAGAAAAAAATTTTAAGTAACGCACATCTACAATGTAGTTATATCTAGAATGTACATTTTTACTATATTGTTTTCCCCAAGAGCTGAATTAAGTATTTATATGTCAGACACAGTAACTCAGATGGGATAAAGACTGCACCTACTTGCACATACTCGCTGTTGTAGGCAAGTGCACAAAAATCGTATTTCAGAGGATATCAGCACCCTGACCTTCAACATCTGTTCTATTAATTAAGAATAAATTTACTCTCTACAGTTTAACCTAGCTGAAATGTGTGATAGTGTAAGTCTGGTTACCTTAAAAAAAAAAACCAAACCACAGGTTCTAAAAGATTTTTACCCACTAGAACTTTCCATTTCCTTGTATCACTTCATGTATTTTCTAGATTCCACCAGGCAATCTTTTTAAGCTGAATCCCTGTCTAATAGGTGAAAATGCAATTTAAAAATCCAAGTTAATATAATTACTAGAAAAGTCAAGGGAAACATAATTAAATACTCTTCCTTATAAAAGAAAGCAACAGCAACAAAATATACACACACAGAGGTTATCAGCTTGAATTACATGGCTTTCAGTTTCTCCATTTTTGGACATAATTTTTATAGTAAATTTTCTAAGTTATATTTGCCTATATTAAAATATCCTCACAAACAAGCCAACTAAGGAACGTGTAGATTCTGCAAATCAATTAACCAAAGCAAGACCAGGTTCTCATGGAAAGCGTCATGAAGTACTGCTATTAGAACAGTTTACAAAACTGGTTCAGCATGTAGATCCAGTCTGTACAAAGGAAACTGTACTCAAACTGCAGATAAAAAAAAAAAAAATTACACAAAATCCAGTATTTTTTTCTCTAGTCTCTTTTAGTTATAAACATCTTAGCTATAATTTTAAAAGAAATGGATTATGTCCTCACTGAAAACATTATCTTTCCAGACCTTGTTTTACTTAGCTGTGTTTTTAGTATCTGGTGTCACCTTCTGGTCTTGAACCTCTTGTGCAAGGCACAATTGACTGGATTTCACAGAAAAAAAATAATAGAAATATAACAGAACTTTTCCATCATGTGCATTTTTAGACAACAGACCAAAAAAATAGTAATGATAAATTAGGAGAAACAAAATTTTAATTCAAATAATTTCCTCTTACAGATTTCACAAAATATCTTTCAATAGATCTAAACTGTTTACTGATATTGATCTATTTTCTGACTGGCATTTACCGGGAAGCATTAAGGGTTTGGTTTGGGTTTTTTTTGTTTTCTCATCTGAGGAAGATCTTCTGACAGTTTTTTGTATAGATATGTAATGGAAGTCTACAGATACACAGCTCAGAATATAAAAATTGTTACTTTGGGTTGCCATATTGTCAAACAGATAGCTATTTACTTAAAACTTACCAAATTCTCCTCTATCCAATGTTATAATTTCAGGATCATCGTCATAAATACCTATTAAAAAAACCCCAAAATTGCTTTTTATTTTTGCCATCTTTAAAAATGAAGAAACAAACTATCATCTTATTCACAAGAGAGAAAACAGAAGACAGTACACTTCAATTGAAGTAGTAAGCTGGCAAAGATAGTTTTTACAACAAAACTGTATTTGTTTAGTAATATGTAACCGTAGTTCAATCTCTTGCAAACTGCCACACCCTCATGCTACAAAAGCCACCATCAGAACAGAAAAGTTCTTTTGATGTTTTAGTAGACCAGCCACCTAGTGAGCAGAGAACTTGAACTACCACTGTTATGGCAAGAGTATTAGAAATAACATCAACCAGTTGTCAGATTAAAATTCATGAAGCTTCAGCTCTCAGTGAGACAGCTATACGTGATGTCTGGAAACTTTCACTTCTTCTCTCAGCCTCAGGTATCTGAACTATTCAGATCACAAAGGCATTTCAGCCACAAGCTTTTCCACTAACACAATGTGTGAATGTAGTGGGATAACGTTGGCAGAATAAAGGTAAGGAAGACAGCTTTTCTAAAATGCTAACCAATCCTACCTAGAACATCACTACAAAACAGTCTGCTACTTCAAGTACACAAGAAAAGCAGCGCAGAGATACCAAAAATACTATTAGACAGCATTATATTACGCTACTATGGCTACAGATCTTTTACAGAACCTAACATGGTGAGATGCCATTTCACCTGAGGTATACAAGGATCAAATGCAAATAAATAATGAGAGAAATTAATTTCTACAGGTGACAAGGTACTTTTTGTATTACTATCCATGTATATATCATGTAATATAACACATACACTTACTCATACAGATATATAAAAAATATCTGTATTTTTTCATATACATATAAACATAAAAATATAGATACAGATACTCTCCAAATGACTGGTAAACAGACATTCAAAATATTGTTTCTCAACCAAGCAGTGCAATTTCAGAGAGATAAAACCTCTTAAATCTATTTATTTGAAGAAGTTTTAGGATAATTTCCATATTTTCCTGTGATAGTTGTGCCTCTGGTTTATTCAATTTCAATTTGCACAGACATTAATTTTTTAGAGACTGGGACATATTAAATCAAACTACACCAGAAAAAAATTTTGCCAAGGTGGAGGTTCATTTCAGCTTCTTCTTGTGTATCAATCAAACCATGTTCCTCAGCTCCCTATTTTAGCTTACTCCTGTTACAGCAGGTCTGAGAACAGTTAATCTCA